AGTTACAGAAAATACGACTAAATAATAAAAAGTAGTGATTTATACTTAAGATCTTCTTCTATAATCTTCCTCTGTACACTCAAACAGACACATTTTGTTGACAAAAAGTTTATTTTTTCAACTTTCTGTGTAAGAATGCTGCAGGTTTTCTTTATTTATAGAGCACCTTTAAAAACAGAGGGGCTCTATATTCACACATCAACTCATCCGCTGACTCACCTCATTCTGTGGAGCTGGTGGTCTAAGGCTTATGGGAAATGCAACATATATATGAGTTAAATAAACAACAATATTTTGTTTTTTTTGGACAAATAACCATTCTTGTCTCAACAAATTGAATGATCTGCACCACCCAATAATGAGAACGGTCATGTTCTAAGGATGGAGGATTTTTTGTGTGTAATTTGCATGATATCAAATGTCCATGTGATTTTCAATGAGGTTTTCCTATTTCTGAAAATGAACTCAGACCTTCCAGTTTATTCTAGCTCTGGCTGTGTGTTTGTGAAAAGAGCTGCTTTGTTAGTACTGGGAATACTAAATGCAGTGTAATGTAAAAGAAAACACTCTTTCTGCACACATACATTTATAGAGCACGACTGAACGAAGTCAAGAGAGCTTCATTTGATTGAGCTGCCAGATCCCGATTTGACTGACTGACCTGTTCTTGCTCCCAATGAATACATCTCTTACCATCGAGGAAATAATTATCCTTCTTATAAAATGTCCCAGACAGCTTAAGGTCCCCTGTTGTGGTAGTTGTGCAGATTTGCATTCACTCTGCAGTCTGAGTGAGTTACATAAAGCGGCTCAGGGGGTCACCAGAGTCCACCAGTCTTAAATGCTACAGGCAGACGCTTGAAAGGTACAGCCTGTGAAGTTTTTGGGGATCCATCAGCAGAAAGGGAATATTAGTATACCAACTATGTTTTCATTAGCGCGTAATCACCTGAAACTAAGGATTGTTGTGTTTCGTCGGCTTAGAATGAGCCCTTCTTCAAAGTAGTGTTTTCTATGGTGAGGGTGGCCTTTGAGTGAGGTGAACGGCGTTACCACGGTTTTGCACGCGACGGTTTTACCGTCCCTTTAAGAAGGGAGGAGTGAGCGGACAGGTGTTTCAGTTGGTTGCAATCTGCAACCACACCACTAGATGCCGCCAAATCCTGCACGCTGTCCCTTTAAATCTACAGGAATCTTTAAAATCTCAAAATTTCCAACAGATGTTTTTTCATCTAATAATTGTGAAAGGAGTTTCATAGTGGAGTCCAGATTTGGAGTGTAAGTGACAATGTTGGATTAGCTGGGGCTTTCTTTTTTCTTTTAAATAATATAAAGATAATAATTGTGTGTGTGTGTGTGTGTGTGTGTGTGTGCGTGTGTGTGTGCGCGTGTGTGTGTGTGTGTGTGCGTGTGTGTGTGTGTGTGTGTGTGTGTGAGCCAGATGAGTAGCCTGGAAGGAGTCAGAGGACAATGAACTTTTCAAGCACCTGTTATTGACAATGTTCATGAAGTAATCAGTAATCAATATCTGGCCACTTTCCAACGCCGTGTTATTCATACATGACTCTACAGCAAGGGTACCGACCAGCTAATGTCGCTATCTCTGCAAATTCACGTTTTCCTTAAGTGTTGTATCTGCACTATTGAAATAACTCATATAACTGGGAACCAGCAAATGTACAGAAAATAATGAATTTTTGTTAGAAATGATCGGTTATCATTTGCCTTACAAGGATATCAGGCAGTGAGGAGGTTATCGTCAACCTTTTCATTTTCCACTACATCACAAAGTACATCGTCTACAACATAAAGACAGATACACACACACACACACACACACACACACACACACAGTGTCTCTCAAAAGTGTTTTCATTAGACGTGTATTCACAGGGATTGCATCATTATTGTGGCTCGCAATCAAGCAGACGGCAGGACGGATCGAGGACAGCTTTACCGTTGTGGATCAATAGCTTGCTCCTCATTAGCACCGCAATACAGTAGATCACATCCGGTGTCTATTGGCTTGCTGTGGCTTGTATCCAAACAGAGACTTGGTTTGCAGTCAAAAAGGGGCGAGGCTTAAATATCTCAAGTGGATGCATTTAATCTGCTTCAGTGGCATCCTGCTCTCCTAAAAATGATATACCCTTTTAATAAAACTGCATCGACATTTCGTAATAACGTAACAAACGCAGTCATTTTAAGGCAAACCATGATGTTTCTACTGAACCTAACCAAGTATCCACGTTTTGGATTTCCTTTTCCTTTACAACTTTAACCACGTGTTTAGAACTGCGACTGAAATCCGGGTAAAAAATCCCCCGAAACGTAATCGAGAGATCACTTTGGTTGTATGGGAACGTACTGTAATAGGAGACGGATTTGTTGGTGGAGTGTTACCTGCAGGGACGTGCGGTCAGGGGAGGCAGGGGAGGCAGAGCCTCACCTGCCATCATGAAAAGTAAAAAACAAATAATGATAAAATTAAAAATAACAATATTTATCTACTGATCTGTGTTATAAATGTAATTTTTGTATGATTTCAATAATTTTAAGCATTTTTAGAGTCAAAATCGCTGAATTTGCGCATGTCCTGTTCAAACAGAGAGGAGGAGCGATGAGATCTGCCTCACCTCAGATTGCGCAATACCTAACAAACTGGGTTGAGCGCGTGGCTTTTGCTTTCTCATTGTTTGTCACCAGTGTAATATTTGTAGACACTTGTATTATATGTCCTTTCTTTCCATAGAATAGGTCATGTATTTCACGTATGTGTAGAATATATTTAGTCTTGCTGATTTGACAGAAAGAGGGGAGGCACACAGTACCTCTGCCTCAATGAAGCGGGTGTGCGAAAGCCCACGGGTTGGGGTTATGCTTGTAGTTCCGTTTCTCTTCTTCTTCTTCTTCTTCTTATATTTTGCTTTGACCGCAAACATTTAAGATTAAATATCTAAGCTTAAACAATTCTCAAAAAATATGACCAAACATATAAAACACATGACAGGGAAATATGACCAAATCAACAGCAATTCAACGGCGGACAGGTCAAGTAAACTTCTATGTGTTTGTTCTCTTTATAAATCCGGTCACTGGTTACCTGTGGCTTCGTCAAGGCCACATCGCAAACAGCCGCTCTCTCTAATCACAAAGTCTTCTTCGATGTGGCTTTATGTGCGGATAATGAGTCAATCACGGGGATGGGGAAATTGAGTGGGATTGCTAATTATGGAGTTAATGCTGTGGAAAGAAACCAGGGGCTAAGAAACGGAACAGCAGCCGGCCCCAGGTGAGGCGCGGGTGGAGTGTGTGCACATCTGTGAGCGTCTGTCCACGTGGACCACGCACGTGCGTGGGTGAAACTGCGGCGCATGTGCGTCCGTCCATTATGTAAGTTTAGCGGCAACGGGGAAGGCAAAAAAGTCATTATGTCATAACAGATGCCTCGCAGGCCCTCGGTAAGCCGTGCTTGATAGGTCTAGAAGCTCATCAGCGGGTCTCCAGACTCCCACACAAACACACACAGATACACACACACGCAGGTCTGCCAGTCACTACACAGCAATATTACACATCTCAGACCCGCGATTTCATATCCTGTGCCAAATATGGCATTGAGACCGTGCCTCAGAGAGGGATCGAAGCAATCAAAATGGAAATTAATGAAATGCAAAAGAGTACAAGAGTGTTTTTATTGCCTCTATATCTTCTTTTAGCGCGACTGTGACTGTTCTTTTCGGTGACTGCAGTGCAATTGGACTCATTGCTGTTTTAATAGTTCCGATTGTTTTATGATTCAATTCTTAACTAGATTAATTTAGTCCAGAAAAAAAGTGAGAAGTCGTAATTTCCCAGAGCACAAAAGTGATGTCTTCAAATTGCTTTTCTTTCATGCTCATCAACACCTGAGCCAATCAGCCCATGAACCACTTCCACATTCTGTGTGGGAACTTGATGTTCTAACACACACACACACACACACGCACAGACTGCCCACCAGATGGCAGAGGGACTGATCCATCATTGCTTGTGATGAGTGTCACGTCCGTCGGCCATCTTGCCGTATCACACTGCGCCTCGGGCCGTGTCCGTGCCAGGGATCATGGGCATGTCAGCCACGGCTGCAGATGCTGCTCATTTGCAGGTTAATGTATTTTGGGGAGAGATGTGTCAGAGCGCTGGTGAGTGAAGCCGGCCGGCCGTCCAATTAGAGCAAAACAGATTAGGAGGCGGTTTTTTTTTACATTGGATCCTCAAAGCGACGGCCTCTAGTCGACCAACATGTAACAGTCATAGGCTGTAGCAGGGCTGACAACATTTTATGATATTGCATGTTTTCTGGTTATTCAATAAATGAATGAATAGTCTATATTAAATAACCACATGGTTTTGTATAAAATTGTGTGAATTGATAATACTTGACACATGAAAAGTCTTCTCTTATTTAATTAAAGAACCTAAGTGCAAAATAATCAGATTTCCGAGAAATTAAAGCTGTTATTGTCAATTAAGACGAAGTAATTGTGCATCTGGATATATGATTTCCTCACGATATGATTCCATTGTATATGAGGAAATGGACAAAGTATATACGCTGATGTCACCCTTTGGTTTGCGGACAGCCAACTTGAAGCCCCGAGTTCGGCATTTCGGCCGTCGCCATCTTGGCTTTTTTGGAACCAGAAGTGATGCGAGAGGGTGGAGCTCTATACAGCTGAACTTTAGGTGACCAAAAATGTTAAAATGTACTTTCATGAACTGAAAACTCTATGTGAAAGTTGTAAGACCAAAAAACGGACAACTCACAGACCGGACATCTCCGTGGTAGCGACATGTTAATAATCACAAGGTTGCCACGCCCATTTTACTCCATATGGGACCGTATTCTACTAATCTATACTAAATCATGGTGCATTTTTACACATCATCTGTTTAACAAGCAGAAAAAAAACAATACAAAAGAATTATAACAGTGAAGTTAGGTAACAGTTCCTTACTGTGAATATCTTGTTATTGTTTTCTATGCTTGTCCGTCTCTGGCAGGCGTATTGAGAAACGGCGGCCACGGGAGTGGGTGTAGAACCTTCTGGCGATGTGAGCACGGTGTCCTGTGAGAAGAACCAGAGACTTATGAACCCACACATGCACGTGTTGCCTTAAATTTCTGAGCTTTTGCAAATTGTTGACAGGCTAAACGTGTCAATGTGTGTCGGGCTGTTCCCCACGAACACAGAGCCGGGGAGTTCAAATTGAATTACATAAAAAAATGTAGCCATTTGCCTTGGAGAAGTTATTTTTATGACTGTGTGTCTCGAGGGCAACAGGCTAATGACACTCATCTCACAGTCTGGTGGCATCCAAATCCATTACGCTACCTAACCCGTGGCATTACAGATCTGCTTGCCATCATCCAATTTGCCTCCTGTAAATTGCCTTTTTTCATTCTGCGAAGAAACGGTTCCCCCATTTGTAATATATGTGTCAAACGGATTACCAGTGTAACATTAATATTCTCGCAGACAATTAGACATCACAAAAGGGAACATTGTGTCTATAAATTATACCCACGGATTGGGTGGGAGAGTGATACAGAGTGTACAGATATCGTCGGCGCGCTGTGTTGACTGGGGCTGATGCTGCAGAAGGAACAGGGGTGTCTCAAAAGAAAGATAATGGAAAAGAGCTCTCACGCTGCTGGGCAGAATCAATCGGTGAGGGATTTAACAAATAATAATAATAATTTTCTCAAAAAACAAACAAAAAAAAAAAGCTGAATAACTTTGAATATATTTCACAGGACAATTTATTCTGCCAATCAAAAGTAAAAATGTCTAACTGTGCTCCTTCTAAATACAACAGGGGGGGTTTCTCCAGCAGTTTTCCACCTCGGCTGCGGGTTTCTTTAATCCAATGTGGGATTGTGGGTCCGTTGACACAGCAACTGTGCATCAGCATGCGGAGGTTGGTTTCCCCCATCTGGGCTGCGTTATTACATACGGGCAAGTTAATCTACGGTGATCTTAGATGCAGCGTAGCCCCGCCTGGCCTTCTCTCCAGTGTCCTCTTCACCTTTGCTGGATGTAACCACTCCTGCTCTCTCCTCCGAAAACCAGACAGAGATGCTCCAGGTGGTGTCCAGCCTCGAAGTCAACACGGGCAGGGAGGTGCACTCAGGTGGGTTGATGAAATCCTCTCGGGCCGCTGAGCAGGGGAAAGGTGAACGAGCCTCCACCTCCTAAGGGAGGTCGCGCCTACACACCGACCCACAAACATCCTCGGAGGAGGAGGAGGAGGAGGAGGAGGAGGAGGGCGAACAAGTGTTCACAAACCAAGATGCAAACTCTAAATCCCTGGCACTCATTCCCCGCTTTCGTTCCTTTCAAGCAGCACATTCCATCTTACCACCTCACCACTTAAACAGGCTAAACAGCCTCTCCGTAAGCCAGGGCGTAATGGAAAATATTACATTACAACGGATTTAACACTTAAAATTCCTGCCTGACTCGGTGTAGAATATTTATGATGGTAAAACACATTGCCTTTCCAGACTATCAAGAAGCACTGCAGGCGAATGTGCCCAAGAAGTGGCCTGTTTGGGGAATAGTATATCTCTACATGGTATCTCCTTAAATGGATTTATGACTCATAAAAACAATCTACTGGAAGCGGCGCGCACATAAATGCCACGGCGCGTTACCTCGTTGGCTTCGGAGAGGAACTGCGTCGCAAAGCGACAAGAGAAGTGTCGCTCGCGGTAACCTGGGGAGATGGGTCAATAAATGTCAGCGTGGCATCATTAGCCCCGTCACTTAATGATGCAGCCGACTAGGAGCGCCACGCTCACGTGGCCGCGCGGAGCGAGATGAAAGGCACATTTTGCAGGATGTTTCACGTGACGGAACGGGCAGTTAGGAGAAAAAAACGTAGATGGAGCTTGGCATAACGTGACTTCGGGACAGCAACATATATTCAGGCTCATCTACATCTAGATGTAGATGAAATACCTTCACTTTATTTCCTCCCTCCTCACTTGCTTCCTCACCACAAATACTGCATGTGCATGCCTACTTCCTTTCATTTTGTGGCAACATGCTCAATGAAAAGCCTCCTGTGTGGTTCGTAGTGCCATCTAGTGCTTACCCCACATCTTGTCTCTGTGTTTTTTGTCTGCTTTGTGGCACACACACACACACACAAACCTGAATGAGGTGTCTGGTCTCCACAGCAACAGGTCTCCCCTCTCTCATGCTGTCGGTGAACCAGCTGATGTCAAGCACATGCATGTCTGGTGGATTGGTCGGGGCGCACTCCTTTAGCCACTTCCACAGTGATGCAGCCTGGCTGGCCTCTGACACCACATGAGTGACCTTTTCGCTGTGGACACGGAAAAAATAAACTGTCAGAAGGTTCATTGTTCACTTTATGGTTTTATTCCATTCTGTTAAAGCTCAAGGGTTGGTGGTGAGCATCATTGAGTGTAAAACTGTTCGAGTTTCAAGCATCTGTATGGGAACCACAGGAGCGCAACATAAAATCTAAATAATAAATGATGCAGTATATCAACTTTAAAGCTGTAATTATTTTTGACCATTTGAGGGTGGTTGGAAAAGGCTGTAAACCCAACACAAATTTGTATCACCTTTAAAGTTGATATGACATATAGCAGACACAGCGCAACATTAGCATACTCTATGTGTCATGTCTCTGGCTACCTGGCGAATTTAAGTCCAATATTTACTCTCTTTTTGCTCTGTTTTGGTCTCCTCCAACGCCTGAGAGAAAAACCTGTTGCTGCTAAATTATATCGCTATCTTCACCAGCTAGTCGCTATCTCTGTTTGTCTGCCAAGTGGTGCTGGGCAGGTAGAGTACAATCAGTTCACCAGAGCTTTATCACTGAAAACAGCAACCTGTTCCTGCCGGAAAAAAAAAATACGTCATGAGTTTGGTGAGAGTGAACCAAAACAGAGAAGTTGCGAGCCAGAAAACCAAAACAACGAGCTGAAAGATGCCAAAAAGCTCCGCAGAGCTGCTGAGTATTGTTTTAATTATCTGTGGATTTAACACAATCAGCGAGTACCTCTCTATAACATTACATGTGCATAATAGATATGGGACAATTAACATTGCGATAATTATTTGTTGGGAGTTTAACACTAATAACTGATTTGCTTCGTCAGGTCAGTGTGGGTGTGGTTTGATCAGATTTGACTGACAGCAGCCGTGCAACACACGCCCATCTGATTTGGATTCAAATGTTGCTATCTTCTGATTGGTGGACGACATCATGCGATATCTCTTTTTTTCCCTACACACGCCAAACCAGTGAGAAGAAAAAAAACACATAAATCATAATAAATGTGAAAGCACCAAAACTGTAATTCAATAATGTGTTGATGTACGACCAAACCGCTCACTGTGAGAAGCTGATCGAGAAAATATGTGTTTGGGTGTCTTTAAGTAATTCAATTCCTCTTCATGGCGAAAGCTTTCAGGCTGTGTTTATGTATTAGGATTTCCAGGAAGCCTTGAATTGTTGTGAAGCATTTCCTTCACCGCTTGATTTACCAAAAAAAGAAATATCCGAGGTTTCATCTCAGCAGCCTTTGGAGAGTCCAGAGGTTCAGAGAGGCTTTTGAAATGCAGCTCAGATCTCAGTATCATGGTCCTGCTCGTGCTGTTTGGGGATCAACACTGGGTGAACAACAATCAGCACAGACCCGCTGTGCCTCCCTCCGCCATTTGATAGCTGAACCCGCTGAACTGGTGCCTCCCCCAGCTCCGCCGAGACTTCTCTCAACACACTTTTTTATCGCGGCCTCCTCCCCTCCGCTTCCTTCCACCGAGTCTAACTACCGTACCCAATCAGGGCGCCCAGCCAAGCATAATTACCCTCGGCACGCTCCTCCTCTTCCTCTCTCTCCTGGCGTGGGTAAATCACTGGAAAGACTCTTTAGGAGAGGCCCCAGCAGAGCTCAGGCTGGGGTCTAATTGGGCAAATCACTGGCGAAACTAATCCTCTATCTGCTCAGCGTACCGGTCCGGCCACCAATGGTCCGTGTTTACAAAGCAATGAAATCCATCCCAGCACAAAGACATGGACAAAGAGCCTCTCAAACAAGACACATTTCACATTTTGCTTGGTTTTTATCTTTGCCTGTTTTAATTTATTTTCTTGTTTCTTCATTTTGAGCTACACCCCCTACCGCATTAAGGGCGCTATATAAATAAAGTTTATCATTATCGTTATTGCATTTGAGGTGTCTAAGGGACACGGCTTTTATCTGAAAAAGCTCAAAATCACTTGCCGTGAACAGTTGTCTAACCATGGTAACAGAGAGTGTGCTCTTGTGGCTGATTTTGCTCTAAAATCACAAGGAGTTGAGCTGCTCTGGTGGAACAAGATAAAGATCATAGAAAAAGAAGGGGGGGAAAAGACTCTCTCTCCTCGTGCCATGTTTACCTAGCTATAATCCAGCCCCTGAAGTTTGGATCATCATCTTGCGCGTATAGCTGCACAGAATGAGAAACGGCAGATTGACATGCAAATGAGCGGGAATGCGAGCCCAGTAGCAGATTGTGGTTCCCGGAATCAGTGGGAGCCCAGACACAAGGACGGGCTAAAGTCAATGGGCTTTGATAGGGAGCGCTCTCTCGTTCTCTCTCTCTCTCTCGTCTCATGTCAGCAGATACCCTCCTATTCCAACAGGCAGATCAAAGACACAGTATGTCCATGACAGATTTTTACACCATGGCCAGGCTTCATCCGTTTGCCTTTTACAGCTGGTCCCAAGAGACATCTTCACTGGGATGCTCACTGTTGGTAGTGAATGAATCATAATGAATAGATATCCTAATTAAATGACATTAAATTATCTTTAAAATCATAGAATAGGAGCTGCTTCCTGGTCAACCAAGATGTCGCGTTACTTTTTCGCTCAACAGTGATTGTCCAGTCACAGCTCAGCTTTGGATTTCTCCACGTGTTGTTTGCAATGGGGCTGCAGTTGGATAGGCTAGTGTTTTGTTTCTTTACCCGTTCCAAAACAAAAAGTAAAAGAGCAAAAGTGAAAGGAATGGATTAAGCAGTGTGTATGTCGCTCTAACGTAAGCTTCAAACGTTAGCGTGTCCAGCTAACTAGATCACAATAGTAACCTAACGTTAGAAATAATGTTCAATGGCATTTAAACCTACTTATGAAGCTCTAGCGTAAGTTCAGACAGGAAGACTATACTCTCGCATGCCTAAGCCCATAGCTTATTTACCATACATCTGCCATCACTCCTCATGCAGAAACACTCATTATTTCCTGGCTGTTATTGTTCGGGGCTGTCAATCATATCAGCTGTCTAGATCAGCTGGTCTCTCTAGCCAATAGCACAACGACACAAGGACATCGTTAGCCTATCATCTGGCTGCTGTCTTTCTTTAAATATGATCGTCTCTCTACCTTCAGCTCGTTCAAGCTGCTGTTGCGCAACCCTCCACCTCCCCATCTCCGCCCAATCTTCGCAGATTCATCAACTTCATCATTCTATCAACCTCATCAGCCACCATCACCACCAGTGTCTGGACTCCACGGGGGGATTTATATTGTTGCCGCTCAGGGCAATCACAACTCGATCACAAATCTCCTCGCTGAGTTCGAGGGCCAAAGAATTTCTGTGTAACTCATTAACGCATCATCTGTCATAATAAATATTAACTACTAATCATTCACTTGTCTCTCCTGATTGAAATTATTTTGGTTGTTTCAAAATAGCTCTGTTCAAGGCTAGCACATCCACTAAGATATATATATATATATATATATATATATATATATATATATATATATATATATATAGCTCTACACTGCAATACAAGAACAACACTTCTTTATTTCCTCTCCATGGATCATCAACTGTGAAGGTGCTGACTTTATGCCAGGGAGATGCAGCACTCCGATACTAATTGCCAAACATTGATGATCCATATTGGCAGATACAGATCCCTTAGCTGTTTGATTATAGCAGCTGGTCTAAACGGCTCCAGACTATTTCTTTTTTTCGCCACTGTCCCAAAAATTCTTTCAACCACTCTAAAGTCACTGTAAACCTTAAAAATTCTAAATGTTATCCTTTTACTTTGCTGTAGCAATTTTGTTATGTTTTTTTTGTATTTTCATCAAAACACACAATTGAAATGATAACAATTGCATGAGAGTCAATGGAGCAGAGCCGGATAGTTATCAGACTCTGGTCGGAGCTGTCCGCTAGGATACGCTAGTCTGTGTTCGAGTCCGGACTTATGGCGAAGGGTCAGTTGTGCTACGAAGGCCAACGTTGTATCTGGAGTGAATGTCCATTAAATATCCAATTTAAAACTATATGTTTCACAAACAAAAAGCCATGTCAGCAAGAAGGTATTGCAAAAAAATGAATGAAAAAGTCATCAATATTATGTCATTCAAACAGCAATTTATTGATGGACCACGAGCTGACAGCCTTCCCACTGCCAACACGGGGTTAAACTCGAAACGAACTAAACTAACTTTACGGCAGTCATTCCGTAAAAGAGCATTCATTGCAGCTCATCAATCAGCCGGGACAAACATGTCGATATTTGGATCCATATTCATGTGCATCAGACTTGAAATTAGGCCAAGGGGAGAGACTGTGTGTGTGTGTGTGTGTGTGTGTGTGTGTGTGTGTGTGTGTGTGTGCGCGCGCCAGCACATTCCTTTTATGCCCAGAGGAACGCACGCGGCGTGTCCGACCATATGCTCGAGGCAGTCTGCCTATAACTTGTGTAGGACTAGACTGGATGTGCCGGTGTTGCCGTCAAACTGCAGCTGATATCAGTTTTGTCGGCTTGCAGAATTGATGTCAGTTTGAGGCGGGCGCGCTCCACTTCCTGTTGTTGGTTTCAAACAATTGTATCAAGCCAAGTGTAACCGTAGGAGCGCTCAAGCTGTGTTTCTGGGAATGCTGCCATGGCCAAGCTGGCGCGCGGCTGGCAGGCGCACTTAAGACACGCATTTAAACACTCACGCACGCACACACACATACACACACGTAGGTTATACTATACCCGTGAGGACCCTTAATTAACCTAAATCACATGCTAACTTCAATCTTTTGACTTAAACGAACATAAATTTGGAAAAACTGCCTTCACTGTAAATTTCTAAAAGTAAAATTGATCCTTGCAACAATTGAAGCACAGAAGCGCACACACACACACACACACACTTGTTCACAGTTTGGGATTTAGAAGATGCTTTCAAATCAGAGTCAGATAAAAAGAAGAAGAAGAAGAAGGCATGCTGTTTCCATAATTACAGCACACTAGACGATTCGTCGTTGCGACGAACAAGCTCGCAAAAACTCCTTAAGTGCGACTTCACAAAAAAACTTTTGCCCAACTCATTAAAAAAAAGTTTGTGTGTGCTCTGTTACCTTCCTTCCAATGTTTGTTTTTTTGATGTTTTTTTTTGCCAATTTTTCCCCATCCTAAACGTATTTATGTAGGAGCAGTGAGTTATGGCTCAGGGGGGAAATCCACTAAGGAGTAGCAGAGAAAGGATGGATGCCCTAACCTTTTCTAATTAAGCATTCATGAGACAACAGTGGCTCTCTAATTAGATAATTGGACCTGGACTTTCTTAAGAAAACAGCACAAAGTAACACCGGATAATCTCACTGGAGATCGGCTCTTTTCAATAATGTCCTGACAAATTTCTCAGAGAAACATCCTGATCTTTGTAGGTTCAAATCCTAAATTAAATCAATCATAACATTATTTACATCTTTACAACTGCTTCTCCAGACCTAAAATGCATATTTAAAGTACAAACACGCTCAAACAGGCCTTTGTGAGTTACAAACAAGCCTTGAAAGCCGACCACAAGGTCAAACCCTACAACACAAAGACAGAAAACACTCCTCCGTCCCTCTTAGCTCTACCATCAGCGCGTCGTTTCGAGCTTCAGGTTGAGAAAAAGCTTTTAGGCGCTTTTGGCCAGTGACAACGAGAAAACGGTGAGCGTTTTGTTCCCAAACCTGAGGACGTCTTCCACAATGAAGCCCTTAGACGTGGCCAGCTGGGTCAGAAAGCTCCTCCTGCTGCTGCCCATTTTCCTCTCCACCAGGTACACTCTGACATCCTCAAACTTCACCTCTTGGCGCCGGGGAACGCCGGCTTCCGCTGGTCTCGACCTCTTCCTCGCGCGGGGCGCAACAGGGGATCGGAACATCTCTTCTGAGGCTGAGCTACCCAAAGTATGTCTGCACCTCTAGGAATGTCTGCTTTTTATTCTTCTGTTGCTGTTGTTGTGGGCAACTTAACTTCCATCCAGGAAAACAACACCCACTTTGGGAAAGCCACAGTTGTTTATTTCACAGTTGTAGCCGTTTTTTGTTATTTGCCCAACTGTGGCACAGTGTGTCAGTTGGAGCAGGGTTGGTGAGAGTTGGCAGACAGGAAAAGCTGGCAACAGGTGTTGAGGATTTGGTGTTTACCGAAAGAACTCACACCTGCCAAGATCAAATGATTGAGGATGGGGGGAGAGATATGAAAGATGAAAAAAAGACACCCTCTTGGCATGGAGTTATTCACTTCCAGTAAAACTTGTTAGGGCAAACACATTCTATGAACGCCCACTGGTGCTGTTGGTTCTTAAAAAAAAAAAGCATCTCAAAAGTTTTCTGTGCAGTTGTGACTCCACTCTCTCTCTCTTGGCTGGAGTGGAGCTTCAACTCCTGGGACACGCCTGAATTCCGGTCACCTCACGAACCCCTCACAGCTGTCCTGCCATGTCCGGCTCGTCTCGCCACTCACCGGCTCATTATGTCCGGACCGAGTCTGCGCCATCTGCTCCACCGCTTTAATTAGCTTGCTGCCTAAAAAAATGAGAGCCTTTGTGGGCATTTCCCCCGAGATCCCACAAGCTCATACACGGCCTTTACACACACACACACACACACACACAGGTACTGTATATGCAGGCCATTGATGATTAGGAACATTTATCTGTCGAAAAAGAACTGCATGTGCGGCGATCAGGAACATGAAAATGGATTTAATGTTTTTGAAGTCGTCTATTCCTTTTCTTTTCACAGAGGTAATTACGACATGAGCCATTGCCTCATGTTGTTTTCATTTCCTCCGCTACAGCGGTCAACAAGGCGAGAGAAAAGGTTTAAATGTCACTTTGCTGTAATTATCTACAATAATGCATCCGCTTCAGTAGACCAAATAGGAATGATTTGGTGATTTAGGTGAAAGGGAGGGAGGGGGGGCATGACAGCCTTGATTCTACTCTAATTACAAAGCCTCTGTTCATTTCTTTACTTTAATAAGCCCACCTTGCCTCTATCAGCCAGACAGAATTTATTACGCTGCTCTCATTAGCGTGGAGTTCTGAGGGTTAACGGGTGTCATGGGGCAGACGTGACTAATTGTTTGACTATTTACCTTTTCCCCCCCCCCCCCCCCCCCCCCCCCCCCCCCATCATCATCGCTCAACTGGGTGCTGGCCCCCATTCAAACGGAGACAGATGAAATTTTACCATCACTAAGACAAATGGCTCTTCAACCGCCAGCAGCAATCACTGCAAAAGAGCAATGAACCCAATTTCTCAATCTAACTTTCATCAGGGGGATGCACGATAACATCGTCTGGTAGCTGTTTAGAATAATCGCAGGCCTAATGGTCTGTTTGGTTGAGGTGAGATTGTGAGCCAAACTCAAAATGCTGTCCAAAATTTGTCTGAAGATGTTTAATATGTCAGGTTGAATTTGATGGAAATGTGTATAAAAGACCAAAGACATGCGGCTTAAAAGCTTAGCTTTTTGAGGCAGTAGCACCAAGGTTGTTGAATGCTCTGCCTGCACCGCTACGTTTCTCAGATTCTGTGAATTCATTCCAGAATCAGCTCAAGACACACCTGTTTAGACTGGCATTTGACTAAAAACTCATGTCCTAGGCCTGCTTTTAAACCATGTTTTAATTTTGCTTTTAAACCGTGTTTTAATGACATTGAAAGGCCATCAGTGCTTCAAAACCTACAAAAGTCTCAGTTATTTTCTCAACAGAAAAGTCAAATAGACAAAACACAAAGTGGTCAAGTCAATATTTATTACAAAATGCAAACAATATACTTTTAAATATATACCTCTCAGTCATTCATTCATGTAAAAAAACAAAACAAACAGATTCTCCTTCAGGAGAACATGGCTGGATATAAAATGTTCACATTCACTCCACTGATATGAACAGATAAATGGTCATCTAACATTGTCGTTATCATATAACGGCTAGTTAGCCAACTGTCTCCCGGATTGCTCTATTTACAACGGAGGTGACGCGGTAGCGTGCGCCGCCTCTAGTTAGTGACTTGCTAGCAGGAAGGCTAGCTGGATCCTCATCCTCCATCATGTGTCCTTGCCAGCAAACTAAGAAACACACTGACGGACATTGGAGGCCCGTCAACAGTCATTCTGGCCCGGGTCCGCTCGCCCTTTCAACTTAAGTCGGAGTTTTCCATGTGCACTTTTGTACCAGTTCTAGCATGTAGTTATTAAAGTGTTACCCTTCCATCTTATGTTACTTTATTCTCCAAGCATTTAAGAGTTTATTTTTACTTCACTAAAGTAAAAAGTTACATTTCAGATTAAAAGTTATATACAACCCTGATTTCATCTCATTATTATAGAATAAACTACATAACAATAAATATAAAAGCTCAACCCTAAACCTGCTGCAACATTCAAAAAAACTGCCTCTACATATATTATATCAGTAATAATAATCCAGTATTATGTCATATAACAAAAGCCCCAGTCTGCATGAGTGGGCTATATAATACTTCTGTACTTTTAATGCCGGACTTTTAGTTGCAAAGGAGTAATTTAATTCTTGTTTTATTGCTACTTTTACCTGCATCTGCTACGGAACACATTTATAGAATATTTCCATTTGATGGAGTTGTGCACCCATCAAAACATTAAGCAAACATCACATATAATACATAGCTTTTACTTGTAATGAGGTATTTTCATAGTATGGAGTTGCTACTTACGCAAAGTATTAAACGTTCAGCTACAGAATATATATACTATGGTGTGTGATACTCTCATACAGTGTGGAACAATGTGGTTTTAACGACCCTGAAGCAGAACAAGCTAAAAACAACTCTTACAGCATTGATATTGCTAACATGTTAGCATACAGTTGCCTTTTCAAACACATCCCGCAGACACTAAGCATCAACAGTAGTCATTTGTGTTTCTGACAACTCGACGCACATCGGTTTAATACTAACCCTCCTTTTAGCTCTGTTTCGCTCTCGACGAACCCCCGAGGACAAAATATGTGGCTCTTCAGATGCTAAATCCTCTACTATAGACTGTATATAACAAGCTGCTAACCTTTTTTATATACAGTATATACTACAGACAAGTTAGTCTTTTAAAGTTGTTGTTCATATAAATATTGATTTGTGCTGTTTTAAAGCTACTTAAAGGGATAAAATAAGCGTAAACTGGATGATAAGGGGTTAAAAAGTTAACTCATCCATTGATTTATTTAACTTGAGGCAGATAAAAAAAACGAAAACGTGCCAGGTCCTTTACTGCATTAAATATTTTCGAATCAATGCTCACCAGAGCATCATAAAGGGAGAAAAACACACTCTTAAGATAACGACAGGTCTTATTATCCAGTTTTCCTGCTGAAGAGTTGTTGTTTTGTTTCATCAATATTTCAGGTTAAGAAAGCTTCCTAAAAATTCTGTGCAGAAGAAATAACCCCGCTAACAAAACAACGTGATATAAAAAGAAGTAATGGTTTCCTTTTGTTTTATTGGGTTTCAGGAAGTGTGTGGATGTGTTTTAAGGTGGTGTTCATTATCTAGGGAGGATTCAATTTGGTGCTGGGTAATGAGGGGATCAACCACATGCACACTATTACTGGAAATAATTGGAAAATGTAGAAAATAAAGTAATTGCAATCTTCCATCTAGAAAAGGCTCGATTCTAATTCTATTCGAGCTTAAGATTTTATAAAAAGATTTCCACAAACACAGTTTCCGACCACAAAGGCTCCTATTCATTATTATTGAAAGCAAATCAAGATATCTCCCAAAATATTGAAGTAAGGCAAAACTGTTGTGTTTTTGCTGGGAATTAAAATGAGCTCATGTAGTTAGTTTAGGGTTAAGACTGGACGCAGGGGGAAACAGCTGTCTCTCTCCAAAGTTCAAAAAAAGTTCTAAAGCTCACGAATAAACACATTGTATCTTATTTTTATTAAATGCTGTGGTACAATGGGGAATTACATGTTGTAACTGTTTGACTTTAACAGTGGCTGGGTGCTGTGAACTCAAAGTAGTGACAATTAAATGTAAGCTAATCCCCTCCTGGCTTTAGCTCCATACTTAATGCTCAAACATGATGTACGATAAAGTAAATGTAGCTAACACCGGCAGCGGGTTAGCTTAGCATAAAGTGTTAAAATGATGCATTGTCTTGTTACTTAATGACAGAGCCAGGGCTGTTTGCCCGTGTCTCCAGTCTTTACGCTAACGTTAGCACTAAAGACAGACATACAGAGTTAGCACCTAACGTTAGCTGGTGAACATAGTGGTGTGTTTAGCAGCTAATAAGCTTGATGTTATCAGACCGTGGTGTCCAAAATCATGCCTCCAAAAAAAAAAGCTAATATGCAAACAATACATATTTGTTTTAAAGGTGCTAAACTCGATATTCAGAGCATTAATATAACAGTAAACAACTATTTGCTGTGTAAAGATATAGTGGAGTAATGCCTAAGCAGAGAATGAAGTCGCTCTCCCTCTGCACGTGTTATCATCCAAGCTGCTCCTTGCTTTGTTGAGGGCCGGCCGGGCCTGCTTTTAGTGCACGTTTGTGCACGTGAGCGTGCCCCACGGGCATTGTGCTGATACAGCGGTTTAAGTTTATAACTCTGTTGGCGCGGAAGCGTAGCACCCACCCTCCACTTCCCCCGCAGGTAAACATTGTTAGCTCTGCCAGCACTTTAGCCGTTGTTTGCACTGTTAGCGCTGTTAGCTGCTGCCAATCTTGTAAATAGCGCCTTTAAATCACAAGTGAGACAACCAACTTCTCTGTCCTTTTTTCGAAGGCTGAGAGACTGGGTAGTTACTGGTACATCCAAAAATAATATTCAAATTCTCAAATCTGGCTTTGTTATTTTTAACATTATATGACTCACATTCACATGTCTGCTAAAACCCCAAGAAATCTATTTCATCTTGGGTCTTTTTATCATATTATATTTAGATCTCTGTTCCTCCTGATATGGAGATGCTACACAACAACAACAAAAAACACCCCATTTCCTGGCTTGATGAGAATTTCCAAAAGTTGATTGAACGCACTCACTACATGACTCATTAAAGACAATGCTGCTATTATTACCACTTCAGCAATCTTTCCCCTCTTTGGAGTCAGAACAGTCTTGCACCTCAAATAAAGTTACACCTTGAAATGAAAATAAATGTACAATGAATTCACTCTCGTAAATGAAGCGAGCCCCGGAAAAGTGAAAGTCAAGTAACACTTCATTATGACACTTTGGTTTCTCAAGACTTTTATATATACTTTTAGGAAGTCCCTGCTTCCCTTTTGTGGATGCTGCAATGCAATCTTGGGGACAGATTTTGATTTAGGAAATATCATGAATTGCTACATTACTTATGGGTGACGAAGAGGGAGACGGTAGAGTATGTGTTGGTTTTGATGAGGTGACCTCCCTGTGTGTACTTCTCCCTGTTGAAGCCGGCTGCTGTGTTGGAGCCGCGGTGCGTGACGGGTCAGTCTATTACTGTACTTCGAAAAGCACACTCCTGCTCACAGGTTCCCCGTCGAGACACAAATGAACCTACCGTCCAGAGAGGAGTGTGAAGGGTGGGACCAGGCGCAAGTAGCCTTCTTTCTGAGCAGGGTGAGTACAAGGAACAAATAGGAGACGAAATGATCCAAAAATCAACGCTAAGGGACCTATTTCCTCAGCATTTAAAAGTGCAGTAGTTCATTCAAGCTAATGTGAATCATGTGTAATCTCATGTTTCAGTAGATCTCTTCATACGTACTGGACCAAAACAGCTGAAGCAAGTGTAAAAATAAAGAGATAAGATTTGTGTAGTTAAATGGGAATTCAAGACAGTAAACCAATATGTGTTTATTACCCTCAGAACAAAATGCAGGAATGTGTTCCCACCATGAACAGACTGAGAATTAATGGACAAAGACTTCTGGTGAGTTACTCCCTCACATCTTCACCTGAATTCTCCAGAAAGCACTCGTTCTGTCCCTGTTGCAGTTACGTAATCTACTAATCTGTTCCGGTCCGGATCATATCTGGGATGTGGTTGTGCTCAGTTTGCTACTCTAATTACATGAAAATTGACAAATCCTCCCGAGCAGTTATTATAATGATATTAAAAAGAGCAGAATGATTACATTCTCCTCCAGCTATTTGTGTCGGTTTTGCAAAAAAAAAAAGAAACTTGTCAAAAACACGGTTTACAATGCCAAACATTTGTAACACCCTTATAAATCTTTTAAAGTCAAATGTGTTTGAAAGGAGTTTGTTTCTTCCTGTTAAGACATATAATACTAAACGTCTCAAATTGCTATTTCTTGACTACATTGAAGACTGAACTTCACTGTGAATTATTAAATTGTGCTCGCAACGCTGCGAATGTCCAAAGTTGAAAAACAGGAGAGTTAACGGGATATGAAACGTGTCTAGTGTAAACCTAGCAGCTTGTATTACTTCCTACACAGCGTGTAATCAGTCGCCCTCGTAATGTGGAAGTCAGAACATCGGTTGCAACTTCTGCTTTAAAAATTGCACCCTTTGCATTGTGTCCGTCATCCGCGCTGCGCGTGTCTCTGAGGGCCTTCCGATGTTGCAGAGAGGCCCGATGACACAATGAGCGCAGGATGTCAGTGTGTCAGTGGGAGAGCGGGTAAGAACTGTGAAATGAGACTCGGGGGATAATAAAGCTGTGATCCCTACTTATAAGTAAGTATCATTAAATCTGCTCCAGTCGTGAGGGTGGCAGAAAGCGGTCTAATGAGGATTTTATGCCGTGAAATAACTGGAGCATGGGTTTATAACTTCCTAATATTTAGTAGTTTGAGGATCCATAATAAAACCTCAGTAATACCTTGGCATGCCCATAGAAACATTTGTTCATATGCATCCTGTAAGATACCACTTATATACACTTGTTTCTAACAAATTAGAGCATCAATCTCTTCTATTCATTATTCACTGACCCTGAGTTGATTCCATGTTAGATAGAATATTGAATCATATTCCCCACATATCTCGCAGGCTTATCACCC